AATCATGCCCTTGGAGGGGAAAATATATATACAGAAAAGATAACTTACCCAGTTTTGGCTGCAGTGAAGTGTGAAGGCTGGCAACAGTTGGAAAACAGTACCCTGATGAGGAAGAAACAGCTACCCAATGAAGATGGTGGGAGTTGAACATATGAGGTGAAGGCCACATGCCTGTCTAAATTGTTTCCTCCAATAGATGACAGGGAAAAGGAAAAGTGCCCAATCACAGAATACACACGTGAATCCAAAGTCTCGAAAATCTCCAAAAACAAACAGATGGAGAAAAGAAGCCACCCAGAAGTTACAAAGATAATGGAAAGGTACATAAATCTGTGAAAAGACACTTGTCCTTCCCAATAAGATCCCAACAGCAACAAAACCACATGTGAAGGGATAGGGCTGAACAGGACAATAGTGGCAATGAGGAGTAAGGAGGGAAAGTGTATCCACAAAAAAAAACCATGGGATTGGTGGAGTACCTTAGAAAGGAGATGTATGTTGGACAAATACTGTAGGAGAGCTGTAAAGGTAAGACAAAGGTGGGAAAATGGACATGGCAGCAATGGATAGGATTATCAGCAACAACCCCCACATGAGCAAAAGTGACACTGACTGTTGAAAGTCAAGAAAAGGTTGATCAGTTTCTAATAAGCCAAAGTATCAAGATTAGAAGTCCATGGATGATGAGGCATGATAACACCAGCCCTCAACTAAAAAGCAAAATGTTCATCATGAACCCAGATGCCAGGGAAAGGAATGAAAAAAAGTACTCTAATGACAGGTGTCCAGTCAAAAAAGAAAGAGTCTCATATGAAAACTGTGAAAATGGAAACCACCTGAGAAAGTATATCCAAAGAGGCAGAGTTAGGCTAAGTAGATTTCATATGAGATGCATGGGAAGACACAGCATAGGTAGAAAGAGGAAGAAAAAAACTGTAAAAATCCTCCTCGCCACGAACAAGTTCAGAAAATGCAGGAAGAACACAAACATTGTCAGGGTAAAAAGGATGCCTCATATAATGATCAATCTTCCAATGAATGATAACCAAAAAATCCTTGTCAGGGGAAAAAGGATGCCTCATATAATGATCAATCTTCCAATGAATGATAACCAAAAAATCCTCAGTTGAGACCCCCAAACCTTAAGTCTATAATGGCATTCGATATACCAGTAATAATATCAGAAGTTGTAAAACACAAACTTCGGAATTCTTCTTAAGCTATGAAGAAGTTGAAATTGAAAAGAAAGAAATCAATAAACAAAGGCAAGTTATCGTGGCAAAATACAACAGATAAAACTAACTGTAGCAAATAAATAAATCAAGTAAATCACTACTTCACAAAACAAAATGCACATGCAAAAATAGCACAAGTGAAAATCATCTGCACTGAGCCACTGTCTAACGAGGAGTGATAGTTCACTAGAATTGAATAGAGGGAGTCAAGTGTGTCAGGAGGGTTGTCACACTCCTACTGGTGGAGGGTTGTCATATGATGATTTACATGCGAGACTCAGTTGAACCACATTAATCATGGTGTACGTGGGAGTTCAACTCTTATGTCATGAAAAAAACATTTTTGCACATAGACAGCAGCACTGAATGAGAAGAGCTAATGTAGTGTACTGGAATTTATTTTTTCATTGTGTTTTTAAAAATTTCTTTTAAGATACTTAAAAGGTTTACTAAATGATGTATACATATTCCTACCATAATGAAAATTTAGCATACTTGCAAAATTTTGAAGTGGAAAAACATGCCACAATTTACCCATTAGTAGTAATTCTGGAGAGCAAGATACAAAAAATAGCAAACTCATCAGGCTATTTTGCATTTTTACTTTTTATACATTAGTGGTACATTAGAGGTAACATGCTTAGTCTAAACATTATGATCTTTACAAAACAAAAAATGTTGTT